ACTTCGCATTCATACCCATTCTTCCAAGTTGCTTCACGTTATGATCTTGCGTTTGAAAGCCCTATTTGAATATTGCGGGCAGCTGTATGTGGCCAGCTGTGTTTGATGGTACGGTACGGGAGACGGTGTCGTATTACCCTCGATCGTACCTGTCCCGTACCTATCCCTACCGTACCGTACCATCAAAGACGGCTGGCCACAATGCATATTCAAATAGGGCTGTCAAATGCAAGATCATAATGTGAAGCAACTTGGAAGAACTAGTATGTATGCGAAGTGTATCGGGGTATGCATGCAGGGCGCGATAGTGCGGGTTCGAATCCCAGGTTATGTCTAAAAAAAAGGATTTTTTAAAGAATTTATAACATCCCTATGCTTTTTTTTGTCTAGGTCATCAAGGCAAAAAAGCATAGCGTAGGGCCCTGAGCTTCCAAGCTCTCTCGTTTCACGCCATGGTCCTAGTTACTTTCATTTGTAGTTTTATTCAGACATAACATGAGATTCGAGCCCGCACTATCGCCTAACATGCATTCCCTCGATATGCATCGCATACCTACACATTCTACCAAGTTATTATTTATTTCATTTTCTGATGCCGCCATTGAAAACCCTTTGTAAATATGTGGATGAATGCAGGTGGCCAGCTTTTCGGCCATGTCCCGAGAAAATCCTAATCCCGAAAACCCCCAAAAAACGACAAAAAAAAAGCGATGAGCGCGACTACAGGAATGCGAGGAGGTGATAAAGACAAACATTATTCCCGCTGGGAGTTCATGCATTGCTTGACTGTTTTCCTGTTGGAGTGAAGTCAGTGTGTTGTTAGACAGTGAGTGATAAGTGGTTTACAACTTTTCAGTTTCTATCTAAATGATGCCGAAAATAGCTTCTTCTCCCGAACCCGAGGTCTTTTATGCTGGCTAGGCACGATGTTCTGCTGGAAAAGCAGGGAAGCATGACCTCGACAAGGGAGGGAATGATCATTTTGGTGTGAGCGTGATAAAATCCTGCATCAAGTGCTGCACAAACCGGCTTTTCACTCAGCTTTTTAAGCACAAAAGGAGCCGGGAATATCTCTCCTGCATCTGGAGAGTCATGGCATGAAGAAAGGATCTGCACTGCTCTCGGCATTGAGAAGTCCCAACAAGAAAAACACCAGGGAAGCATGTAGATCAGCCATCGTCTTCTCCACACAGAAGAAAGCACTTGATTGCGATCCATAGGAATTTTTTATTTGCTTTGCTCGCATCAACTTTGACTTGTGCTTTTTTGATAATCGTCCATGTGAACGCGTACATGTGAGCACATGGGTACCTTTCGTGCACAAAGTGCAAACTTTCCCGGAGGTTTGTCTCGTTGGGTGAGCACAACCTAAACTTCTCTTAAACGAATGAGCAAATATGGTGTTAGGTGCGCAATCACGTAAACGCAGCCATGCATTCTCCGTAAATGAATGCCATCCAAACACTATTGGTTTTGTGGTGGTAGTGTTGAAAGTGGCGATGGTGGAGGCAGTTCTGTTGGGGAGAAAGAGAGAGAGCTCTATACAAGAATCTAGCTTTAGTTGTAGCTTAGATAGATTGTGTGGGCAGGCGGGTGTTTCCAACTGTTAGGTACCTTTTCCCGCATCCTTTTTCAGCCGGCATGAATGCACCAGGTACTCACCTTTTGTTCCGTTGGCCTGGGTGGCTACTCGCGCGCCCATAATCGCCATAGCTACCCAGCCCCCTCATCTAGCACTGGTCCTCTCGCACTCGTCATCCGCAGGTAGTCTTTCATTTCGTCTCTCATCTACCCCAATAAATGTCATCCTTTCATCCACCTGTCCCTTGTCTCGTTTCATGATAGAAGTATGACAGAGTTGACTTTTCAACACAACTGATTCGCCATGCTCTATGTCTTTGCTCACTAGCCACTATAATAATTATTGTCTGTAAAATGTACTGTTGAAGTTTTCATCAGGTTTAGAAAGTTGCAAAGATTGTGGGAGTGAGTGGGAAACGTCTGAAGAGAAGCGACTGTCACCAGCAGGACTCGAACAAGGGATATTGCTAAGTAGAGTAACACATACTCAGTTGTAATTGTTGTACATCACGGTCCTAATGAACAACCACTGACATAGGTATTGCTGTGCTTCTCAACTGTACTGTTTGCTACAGGTGTGCAGAGATATTCCTGGTCAATGTGCCAAGAGTCAAGTGCCACCAACGATGCCTCCAAATGTTTCTATCCCCGACCCATTACCTGAGCCCAGCCGGGCTGAATTAGTACAGCTGGTCGCAATAGAATCCTCTGCCGCACAGTGCCAAGTGGACACAGCATCAGGGACAAGCACAAACTGCACTCTAGAGCAGGAGTGCCACGAGTTGGATCTGCTCACTCAACATATAGGTGGGACAGGGCTCAGTATCTCAGCTCTCTACTTCGCCGCGTTCAGCATTTTTAACGAGAACTCCTTAACACGCTCAGTGCACACGCTCCTACACGAATTCAACTATCGCAGTACTATCCAATGCACTGGGAACTTTAGCGAGTTCAACGACACAGCATTTCAGGTGACACAGGCGGACGGTTCTGGCGTGTTCGAGTACTTCCTTCCAGTGGCGCAGACTCCTGGACATCCACGAACTCTGCAAAATTCACAAGTTGATGTCACCCTCCCTAACCTGGGAACACTGGGTGATTTACGGCTGCGGTATTTCTTTGATTGGAGCGGCGATGTAGAGACTGTACAGAGATTTATTCGTCCTCCGAATCAAGCTACGGATATGTTCTTCCCATTCCCTTTGCGAGAGACGGTGAGTACAGTATAGCTAGCGTACGGTCAGTATCTAAAGTAGAGTGCATGCTCATTGCAACTTGCATGTTATTACATCCGCTCTCTCTCAATCTCCCTCTGTCTGTCTGTCTGTCTGGCTGGCTGCCCGCCCACCCGCACGTCCGTCCGTCGGTCTGTCTGTCTGTCTGTCTGTCTGCCTGCCTGCCTGCCTGCCTGGCTTTCTGTCTGTCTGTCTGTCTACCTGTTGGTCTGTCTGCACACTTTCCCTATTCTGCATTTTTACTCGTGCAACCGCGTCCAAATTCTCAGGACTTCATCCAGTGACTCTAGGTTGTGTCTGGTTTCCTTTTCATGGAAAACACCGGTATATGGCCAGTGTGGTATGTCTGTGTACTTGAGTCGATTACCGTAACAGAACATGAACTTATGGGTGTACGGACTTAGGACTGCTGTCCGGACTTTAAGCACCTGGGTCTAATATCGAACAACCACTGACATAGGTATTGCTGTGCTTCTCAACTGTACTGTTTGCTACAGGTGTGCAGAGATATTCCTGGTCAATGCGCCAAGAGTCAAGTGCCACCAGCAGTACCTCCAAATGTTTCCATCCCTGACCCATTGCCTGAGCCCAGCCAGTATGACGTAGTAATGTTGGTCGGCATGAAATCCTCCGCTGCACAATGCTCATCGAATTCGTATCCTATTTTGTTCAAGAAATGCACTCTAGAGCAGGAGTGCCACGAGGTGGATCTGCTCACTAAAGACGGAATAGGCGGTGCTGGGCTTAGTCCGTCAGCTCTCTACTCTGCTGCGTTCAGCGTTTTCAACGAGGACGCCTTCACACCCTCCGTGCAGACTCTGATAGATGAGTTCAACAATCGCAGTACTATCCAATGTGCAGGTAACTTTAGCGAGTTCAATGACACGGAGCTTCAAGTTACGCAGGCGGAAGGTTCTGGCCTGTTCGTTTATTTATTTCCAATGGCGCAGATTCCTGGCCAGCCACTGACTCTGGAAAATGCACAAGTCGACATCACCCTTCCTAACCTGGGGACGTTTGGAGATTTACGGCTGCGGTATTTCTTCAATGCAAGCGGCGATGTAGAGACTGTACAACAATTGATTCGTCCTCCAGATCAGGCCAATGATACGTTCTTCCCATTCCCTTTGCGACAGATGGTGAGTGTATCGTAGTAAGTTTACAATCACTATCTAAAGCATAATACATGTACATGTTGCAGATTTCTGTTCGACTATGATGTTTTTCGCATGTTGTTGTATTTGGTTCTTGTCTGGTGGAGTCCAGTGTCTGATGTCATATATGGTCTAGGTGTACGCGCGAGTATGGTGTGATGTGTGACGTTTATGGTATGTGGTGCATGCAAGAGTACGCGTTGTCAGAGTGTGAGGATGTGCTTCCGTCTGTGTGAAAGTGACTGTCAAGTGAATGCTGTACATGCGCAGTGCTAGTTTGGTCTGGGAATGAGAGTCGTGTGTGATTCGTCCGTGGTCTGGTTGTCTTGGTCTTGGTCATGTGTTCTGTACGTATTGGTCCCTGATTGGTCGTCTCGATTGGTCGTCGGTTTATTTCTGCTTGTTCTTTGTTGTTTTCTTTGAGTCTTTTCCCGGGAGTCCTTCCCGTCGTCGTGTTGTCCCTCACAAAGTTTGTCTCTCTCCTGCGCCCTCGTCATTTCTTGGTACAATATAAGTATTGCAGATATGATCAAGAGTTCTCGTTGTTGTGTGGCGGGGGCCAGGGGGAGAAGCCTACTTCATACATGTATAATGAAAGTTGGATATGATTGAATCCTCTCTCTCTCAACCTCTGTTTGTCTGTCTGTCTATCTGTCTGTCCGTCCGTCCGTCTGTCTGTCTCTGTCGTCCTTCGAATATTCAACCAGTAATTGAGAATCAAATGGGTAATGTTTACGATTATTATCTGATGCGTATTACATGTGTATTGAAAGTTGGATGTATTTGAATCCTCTCTCTCACACTCCATCTGTCTCTCCGTCCGTCCGTTCGACCGTTCGTCTTGTCCGTTCATCCGTCCGCCCGTCCGCGGAATACTTCAAGTATTAAGGAGAGAGCTGCCAAGTTCAGGGCCCTCGCTATGTCTTTCTGTTACCTAAGTCATCATGTTTGTGATTCAAACTGCTAGAAACGCCTTTCCAATACAAGTACAGTTGCTGTAGCTGGTAATCGTATTGCTAAGACGTTTCTATCAGTTCAAACAACACTCGTGATGACCTAGGGAAAAGCAAAGCATAACAATGGCCGGTGTGGCTGCATAGTTGGCGTAGCACGGAAGGAAGCCGGTCTTGCGATGCGAGATGATATTGTGGGGGCTACAGCACAGGAGCCCTACTTGGCTTGCAAAGTGAGGATCCTTCAAGAAGGATTGCGACACAACAGCAAATCTCTTCTTCAGCCTTTCGAATGCACACTCCACTACCCGCCTTGCACAGATCTGGCAATAGTTGAAACTCAGCTGCTCTGGTGATAGGTTGCCATCATCCTTGTAGATCTTCATCATGGATGGCTTCAGGGAAAATGCACTATCTCCAATGAGGAATGGGTGGATGGAGACACCATTCCTAGTTGCTGAAGCTGCGTTGAGCCACTCACCACCGTCGATCTTTGCTTTCAGTTGGCTATTGTTGTAGACCGCTGCGTCACCTATGCAACCAGCAACACCGATATCAATGAACGTGAGGAGCCCTTGCGAGTCTACGCAAGCAAGTAGCAAAATGGCGGTGTATCCCTTGTATGTCCAGTATGCGTCTCCGTTTTCTTCTGGTTTCACTATACCCATGAATGTACCGTCGACTGCACCGCAGCACATCAGAAGGTTGGGTAGCTTCTGAAACGTCCTCATGGTCCGGTTCAGCTGGCGTCCCACAGGGAACAAAATATTTTCCTCTGCAACAGCGCCAACCAGGCCAGTAACTACTTGGTGCACAATGTTGGCGACGGTGCTTGTTCCAACACGAAATCGGCCAGAGATCTCGGAGTACGCTTCAGCATGGGCAATGAAATAGAGGGCAATCGCTAGGCGTTTGGCAGGAGGGATTTTGCGACGCATATGGTTGGAGAGCCGTGCGAACAAATGACCATATTTCCTCACCAAGAAACAGAACGTGTCCTGATCCATTCTGAAGTGGGTTATCCACTGGTCTTCCCACCACTGTCTGGACACAGGTTTCACTCGCTCCCAAGTGCCAAGAACTTCTTCTTCCCAGAAACCTGCTGCTGCACCAACTTCATTCTCGGGATGAGCAGTCCACAGCATTCGTCCCGGGTTAAACTTGAACAGATTTCTCCATGAGCAAACAAACCGCGATTTGATACAATTGGGAGTCGCTTTCCAGCACCATCCCCGCAAGTTCTACAGGCGACAATGACTTCTGGAGAAGTTCTTTCCTGATATAATAATAAATCGCTCAGCATCCAAAAATAGGCAACCTTTCGACGCATGCCCTCGTTGTATCCAATCACGGCATCCATTGTCAGCGTGACTGACGAACTAGAACAAACTTGAGAAAAACTCAGGCGAATACACCAGTTGTGGAGGCTGGAGACGTTCCACCCAGATAATACTTGTACTATACTGTACTAGCGAACCCGGCCCCTGGGTTGTGTTGGGCTTGTCGTGAAGCCGCACGTCTATTCAGTCGCCGCTCGTAGTGATTCCTGGGTCCGGTCACTGAGAGCCAGGGATGCGACAGAAGTATGGCAGAGTTGACTTTTCAACACAACTGATTCGCCATGCTCTATGTCTTTGCTCACTAGCCACTATAATAATTTTTGTCTGTAAAATGTACTGTTGAAGTGTTCATCAGGTTTAGAGAGTTGAAAAGATTGTGGGAGTGAGTGGGAAACGTCTGAAGAGAATCGACTGTCACCAGCAGGACTCGAACAAAGGATATAGCTAAGTAGAGTAACACATACTCAGTTGTAATTGTTGTACAACATGTACTTTTGAACAACCACTGACATAGGTGTTGCTGTGCTTCTCAACTGTACTGTTTGCTACAGGTGTGCAGAGATATTCCTGGTCAATGTGCCAAGAGTCAAGTGCCACCAACGATGCCTCCAAATGTTTCTATCCCCGACCCATTACCTGAGCCCAGCCGGGCTGAATTAGTACAGCTGGTCGCAATAGAATCCTCTGCCGCACAGTGCCAATTGGACACAGCATCAGGGCCAAGCACAAACTGCACTCTAGAGCAGGAGTGCCACGAGGGGGATCTGCTCACTCAACATATAGGTCAGACAGGGCTCAGTATCTCAGCTCTCTACTTAGCCGCGTTCAGCATTTTTCACGAGAACTCCTTCACACGCTCAGTGCATACTCTCCTACACGAATTCAACTATCGCAGTACTATCCAATGCGCTGGGAACTTTAGCGAGTTCAACGACACAGCATTTCAGGTGACACTGGCGGACGGTTCTGGCGTGTTCGAGTACTTCCTTCCAGTGGCGCAGACTCCTGGACATCCACGAACTCTGCAAAATTCACAAGTTGATGTCACCCTTCCTAACCTGGGAACACTGGGTGATTTACGGCTGCGGTATTTCTTTGATTGGAGCGGCGATGTAGAGACTGTACAGAGATTTATTCGTCCTCCGAATCAAGCTACGGATATGTTCTTCCCATTCCCTTTGCGAGAGACGGTGAGTACAGTATGGCCAGCGTACGATCAGTGTCTAAAGTAGAGTGCATGCATATTGGAACTTGCATGTTATTACATCCTCTCCCTCACACTCTCTCTTCCTGTCTGTCTGTCTGTCTGTCTGTCTGTCTGTCTGTCTGTCTGTCTGTCTGTCTGTCTGTCTGTCTGTCTGTCTGTCTGTCTGTCTGTCTGTCTGTCTGTCTGTCTAGAAGCCCGCCCGCCCACCCGCACGCTCGTCCGTCCATCCGTCGGTGTTTCTCTCTGTCTGGCTGTCTCTCTGTCTGTCTGTCTGTCCGGCTGTTCGCCCGCCCGCCCACCCGCACGTCCGTCCTTCCGTCCGTCCGTCCGTTCGTCGGTCTGTCTGTCTGTCTGCCTGCCTGCCTGGCTGTCTATCTGTCTGTTTGTCTGCACACTTTCCCTACCCTGCATTTCTACTCGTGCAACCGCGTCCAAATTTTCAGGACTTCATCCAGTGACTCCAGGTTGGGTCTGGTTTCCTTTTCATGGAAAACACCGGTATATGGCCAGTGTGGTATGTCTGTGTATTTGAGTCGATTACAATAACAGAACATGAACTTATGGGTGTACGGACTTAGGACTGCTGTCCGGACTTTAAGCACCTGGGTCTACTATCGAACAACCACTGACATAGGTATTGCTGTGCTTCTCCACTCTACTGTTTGCTACAGGTGTGCAGAGATATTCCTGGTCAATGTGCCAAGAGTCAAGTGCCACCAGCAGTACCTCCAAATGTTTCCATCCCTGACCCATTGCCCGAGCCCAGCCAGTATGACGTAGTAATGTTGGTCGGCATGAAATCCTCCTCTGCACAATGCTCATCGGAATCGGATCCTATTTTGTTCAAGAAATGCACTCTAGAGCAGGAGTGCCACGAGGTGGATCTGCTCACTAAAGACGGAATAGGCGGTGCTGGGCTTAGTCCGTCAGCTCTCTACTCTGCTGCGTTCAGTGTTTTCAACGAGGACGCCTTCACACGCTCCGTGCAGACTCTGATAGATGAGTTCAACAATCGCAGTACTATCCAATGTGCGGGTAACTTTAGCGAGTTCAATGACACGGAGCTTCAAGTTACGCAGGCGGAAGGTTCTGGCCTGTTTGTTTATTTATTTCCAATGGCACAGATTCCTGGCCAGCCACGGACTCTGGAGAATTCACAAGTCGACATCACCCTTCCTAACCTGGGAACGTTTGGAGATTTACGGCTGCGGTATTTCTTCAATGCAAGCGGTGATGTAGAGACTGTACAGCGATTGATTCGTCCTCCAGATCAGGCCAATGATACGTTCTTCCCATTCCCTTTGCGACAGATGGTGAGTGTACCGTAGTAAGTTTACAATCACTATCTAAAGCATATTACATGTACATATATAATGAAAGTTGGTTATGATTGAATCCTCTCTCTCTCTCTCTCTCTCTCTCTCTCTATCTCTCTCTCTCTCTCTCTCTCTCACCCTCTGTCTGTCTGTCTATCCGTCCTTCCGTCCGTCCGTCCGTCCGTCCATGCGTCCGTCCGTCCGTCCATGTGTTTGTCTCTGTTGTCGGTCGAATATTCAACCAGTAATTGCGAATTAAATGGGAAAAGTTTACGATTATTATCTGATGCATATTACATATGTATTGAAAGATGGATGTATTTGAATCCTCTCTCTCTCACACTCCACCTGTCTCTCCGTCCGTCTGTTCGACCGTTCGTCTTGTGCGTTCATCCATCCGTCCGTCCTTTGAATACTTCAAGTATTAAGGAGAGAGAGAGCTGCCAAGTTCAGGGCCCTCGCTATGTCTTTCTGTTACCTAGGTCATCATGTTTGTGATTCAAACTGCTACAAAAGCCTTTCCAATACAAGTATAGTTACTGTAGCTGGTAATCGTATTGCTAAGACGTTTCTATCAGTTCAAGCAACCCCCTTATAACCTACGTAAAAACAAAGCATAACGAGGGCACTGAATGTGGCAGCTCTCTGGTGTCTTAAACAAATTACCAAGCATGACTCTAACTTAAAACTCACACTCAAAATCATAAACAAAAAATGATCTGATGATACATACATGTACAGAGTTACTTATAACTCTAAATCACAGACATGCACATTCTACCAAGTAGTTATTTCACACCTTGGTCCTAGCTTCATTCTTTTGTAATTCTATTCACACATAGCATGGGATTCGAGCCCGCACTATCGCCTAGCATGCATTCCCTCGATACACATCGCATACCTACACATTCTACCAAGTTATTATTCCCGTAGCTATGCAGAAGACGTTACTTCAGTAACGTCTGGCGCTAGCCAGGGTCCACACAGCTTTAATTTGGTATTTGTGTGTTTGTGTGTTTGTTTGTTTGTGTCACGCCTGGCGCTATCCGTATCTGACGGCAAAAAAGCATAGGATGTTATAAAATTTTCAGTTCTCCTATTTTTTTCAGGCATATCCTGGGATTCGAACCCGCACTATCGCCCTACATGCATTCCCCCATACACTTCGCATTCATACCCATTCTTCCAAGTTGCTTCACGTTATTATCTTGCGTTTGAAAGCCCTATTTGAATATTGCGGGCAGCTGTATGTGGCCAGCTGTGTTTGATGGTACGGTACGGTACGGGAGACGGTGTCGTATTACCCTCGATCGTACCTGTCCCGTACCTATCCCCTACCGTACCGTGCCATCAAAGACGGCTGGCCACAATGCATATTCAAATTGGGCTTTCAAATGCAAGATCACAATGTGAAACAACTTGGAAGAATTAGTATGTATGCGAAGTGTATCGGAGGATGCATGCAGGGCGCGCGATAGTGCGGGTTCGAATCCCAGGTTATGTCTTTAAAAAAAGGATTTTTTTAAAGAATTTATAACATCCCTATGCTTTTTTTTTGTCTAGGTCATCAAGGCAAAAAAGCATAGCGTAGGTCCCTGAGCTTCCAAGCTCTCTCGTTTATTTCATATTATGATGCCGCCATTGAAAAACCCTATTTGAATATGTGGATGAACGCCAGTGGCCAGCTTTTCGGACATGTCCCGAGAGTACCATAATCCCGAAAAAGCCAAAAAACAACCGAACAAAAAAAGCGATGAGCGCGACGACAGGAAGGCAAGGAGGTGATAAATACAAAAATTGTTCTTGCTGGGAGTTCATGCATTGCTTAACTGTTTTCCTGTTGGAGGGAAGTCAGTGTGTTGTTAGACAGTGAGTGATAAGTGGTTTACAACTTTGTAGTTTCTATCTTAATGATGCCGAAGATGGCTTTTTCTCCCGAGCCCGAGGTCTTATATGCAGGCTAGGCACGATGTTTTGCTGGAAAGGCAGGGAAGCATGACCTCAACATAGGAGGGAATGATCATTTTGGTGTGAGCGTGATGAAATCCTGCATCAAGCGCTGCGCAAACCGGCTTTTCATTCAGCTTTGTAAGCACAAAAGGAGCCGGGCATATCTCTCCTGCATCTGGAGAGTCATGGGATGAAGGAAGGATCTGCACTGCTCCCGGTGGGTTGTTGAGAAGTCTCAACAAGAAAAACACCAGGGCAGCATGTCGAGCACCCATCGTCTTCTCCACACAGAAGAAAGCACTTGATTGCGATTCATAGGAATTTTTTATTTG